AAAAGTATCATTTTTAAGTAAAAACCAAAAACACGGTATGCTAGGTTTGATGAAATTATGTTACTTGAAAGTGTATTCGTAAATTCAACCACATTAACCTATATGAATTTGGAGAATTTTGGCAATGAATTGCTACCTAAAAATGATACAAACACAAAAGCAAACTATGGATTAGTTTTTGCATTTCAAAGTTTGTCAGCAATTTTTTTTCAGCCGATAGGCGTGTTTTTGTCCAAAGCCTAAAGGTTCAGTTAAAGGTACAAATTCAGTATAAAAAGTTACTGTACGATATACATAAAATGTGTTGCAATTTAAATTATAATTTATAATCAGTGATGTTTCCATAATTTTTTCTATAATATACGAAAGCAGAAGTTTAATTTACTTTTGTTACATAATTGCATTCTGTTTGCTATATATGGGGCAGAAAAAACTCACTCTCTGGTGCTAAGCTTATGTCATATACAATATACCCCTTCGGCCTTCGCCTCAAGCAACACTGAATATAATGGTGTATTATTTTTCTAATAAATTTATGTGTCAAAGGGTCTTTATAAAAAGTATAATAACATCTCTAAAATTATTAAACACAAAATAACTTTTTTTTTAAATTGGTTTCAAAGGTATTGTTTTAGCCCAACTTGTACTGAAAGCAATATCTCTTCTCGAAGCTGCTGGTACCCAAATTGATGGTGTAGTTTCGGATGGAGCCCAGACAAACAGAAGAATGTGGAGTGAGTTTGGTGGAATTATACTATACACCATATGAATTCTACAAGGAAATTATTTTTTTTCTGACGCTCCCCATTTAATAAAGAATGTCAGAAATAAACCTCACGATAAGAAGCTTCTTAGGGTGATTATAACAATATATTAATAGCTAACACATTTACAATAATTATTCATTTTTACATTTCTAATTTATAAATTATAAATTAAGGTCTCACCAAACTAGCATCCTATAAACTGGAATTTTTATAATGTAGTACACAAGTTAGATCAGTATCAGAGTCCATTAGTACCTACTCGTGCATATCCAAAGATTACCCAACGACATCTTAAATTAGATAATTTTTCTAAAATGACTGTCAAGTTTGCTATACAAGTAAAATTAAATAGAAATAAATAATATTTTATATTAAGACCAAATCACAACATATCACATTATTTAAAATAAATTGTGTAATTTTATAGGTTTTAAGTAATTCTATGGCAAAAGCTATACATTTTTACAGAGAACATCAGCACATAGAAGAATTAAAACATAGTGAAGAAACTGAAAAGTTCACATGTATTTTTAATTCAGTATTTGATGCTTTGAATCGCAGATATCCAGCAGAAGGAATCAGAAGCAGTAGCAGTAAAGATATCCAAGTTTGTTCAACTATATTAATAAACAATAATTTTTTTCTCTCTTCCTGACATCAGAAAATTTCACGAGTTTACCACCACTACTGAATTTCATTCTTCACAATTGTGCACTCTTTCTTGCCAATTCTCAATCCTTAACTTCTCTAGGTCTTTTTTACTCCATCTAACCATCGCTTTTTAAGTTTTAAAAACAATATAAAACTTATATTAATTAGGTTTTAGAGGAAACTATATCTTGGCTCAATGATTGGGAAAGCCATGTTATAAAAGGCAATATTAAAAAAGATGAGTTTTTGACTAATAGCACAGCTAATGAGTTACGTGTCACTATGAAATCAACAATTGATCTATCAAATTATTTATTGCAAACTTGTGGTTTTAAATATGTGTTGACAAATAAGATGAATCAAGATCGTATGGAGGTGAAATAATAAGTATTGAATAATTATTATAAACTCATAATATTAATGTTTATATTTTTAACTGTAGAAATTTTTCGGTACAACACGCCAATCTATTGGCCCAAATGATCATCCTACATGTCCGTCCTTCTTACAAGTCTATAAGCTACTGACAGTGTATTCAATAATAAAACCGCCTAAGACAGGAAACTGCCAAATTCTCGATCCATCAACATCTATGATACAATTATCGGATTTGAAGGATTTATTTAAAAATGAACCATCCGAAAGGCAAATACAAATTGAAAACTGAAACGATTGCTAGATTCCATGGTTGAAGAAAGTGACTGGAATTCTAATGTAGATCTAGCATTTCAGGACCATTGATATTCCACTAAAACTAAAGTAGCAGCTAAAGAATGTGTATTGTATTATATATGTGCCTATGTCAGCAAACAAATTCAAAAACATACAAAATGTAATGTTTGTCTCTGCTTTTAAAGGTATTTTATTTTTGTATAATATACTAATAGATATTCATTATTCATATTATAAAGTATCAATGTATTTAAAACTTATTAACATCTAGGTACAGATCGGGATGCTCAACTACCTGAAGCAGCACTTACAAATTTAAAATCAAAAGGTTATCTTTTATATCCTAACAAACAGTTTTTCAAGCTAATCACAGCAATTGAAGAAGGATTTGTAAAATTTGCTCAAGACCCTGACGTTTTTAACAAAACAGTCGATTATGTTATTATTGAGCATTACAACTTACTCATATTTCCTTGTAAAATACATAAGACAGAAATAATGACAACAATATTCCAATATTATATAACAATAAGGATGAAACAATTTACATTAGTACAAAACAAAGAAGTAAAACAAAAAAGTTTTAAAAAGAAAAAGCTATCAAAGTTGGTGTCAACCTAACCGAAGAAATATGTTTTTGTTGTATTATTTAAACATTTTTAATTATTTTACATAACAAATTATTTATTACCAGTCAGTAAAACATGTGTTTATACTCCAGCAGGATGCAAAATATAACTTATTTGTTCTGAATTCATAGTAATATAGTATTAACCAGTCTTAGATATTATTCCTAGCCCTTAGGTATTAACTTTTATTAAAATATACCTATTATATTAGTTCTAGTGATGGCATGAAATAGCAATAGCAGTGAATTTACTCAATTCGTGATTTGAAAATTGAAACTATTACAGACTACAGTATTTACTTAGTAATTAGTATTTAGTATTATACTATTATATTATATTACATATTATTATATTTTATTACCTTACATCACTTATCAGTTATCAGTAGAAAACTAAAAAATAATATTATTATGTTATTAGCCACCGGTCGTTGCAGGAGCGCTAGTGAAGCTAAAAGGTGGAAAAACCATCCGTAACTCCACCACTCTACATATTTTGAAGGAAACACCCCGCACACCCTCCATCAATATCGTTTCCAGTCCTGTATATCTTAGTTCGTGCTATTATCTATATGAGTATATTAACAGTGATAAAAAAATTAAAGTAAATAGTAATTAAAAAAAACTTAACAAATATAAAAATATGGTAATTTACATATTAACGTATTAAAAAATAGCGAATTGATTACAAATAAAATTTATATCGGTGCAAAAAACGTAAAAGTGGATTATTGAAACAAACATCAGATTATATAAAATTAAGTTAAACTCACCTACTCTTCAGCATTAATCATACACATTACAACGTAAGGGTTAAAAGAGGTTTATTCCTTAACTGGAAGGAACTAAAGTGTGAATGGATGAAACTTTATAATTACCCGGTATTTTTTTTGATTTTTTCGCCACAGATATAAAATATTCTTCGAGTTTAAAATTAATAATTTTTAATGAATAAAAAAAACAAAAAACTCATAATTCGTATTCGAATAATATTTTCAAAAAGTATTTAAAATAGTATTCAAATAAAAAAAAATTATTTGAATACTAATATAAATAAGATATTGAATAAATATTCAAATCATTTTTTTTATACTACCTACTAATGTTAAACTCGGAAAAAAAATTAATATTCGTGACAAACGAATCAAAAAAACCGGGCACATTAAAGCACATCCTAATAGAACTCTACAACTAAAAATCAAAAAAACCAAAAAGTATAATAACGAAAACAAAAAAAACTACACTATTATGCCAGGAAAAAAATTTTATTTTATGTTAAAGAAAAAGAATAATTAGATTATTAATAGCCTTACTATATTCCTCGTTACTATTATAAATTACAAGAATGTATATAAAAAAACAAAAAACGTTTTTCATCCATGATTTTAATTGAATACATTACAAGACTGGTAACTGTACGCGCCGGCCATCGCGCCGCGTGCCGGTCATATAATATAAAATGTAAACAAGTTATTTGAGACGGTGTATAGTCGTCGGGAGCTGGGGGTCGTTCTCTGACAAACATAAATTTGATAGCATAATGTAACATCAAACATTTTCCAATAGGTACCAACATAATTTGAATTAAATTGATATTAGGGAAATGTTGCACCAATCATACCGCCGTACTTGTCGGAGTATCGGACTATTATTGCTTAAAATATATTAGAACAGTGCACAATTAAAAATAAATCAATTGTGTTCTTGTAGAATTAAAGACTATAAGATAAAATTAAAATTGTACATCAATGGCATGTACATGTTATGGTCATGGTTATTGCTTAGTCTATATCATTCCTTTTGAGATTTGAAAATTGTATGTGGTTTCACTTCATATTGAGAATTATCGTGCAAAAATATAACTATCCAATATGGATAGAGATCATTTAGATGAACATAATTACTTTTTGCATCTTCCTAATCTTCCGGAACAAAATATTGAGGATATAGATGAAGAAGTCAACGGTAAGTACTTTCTTACACATCAATTTGTATCATATTTTTTTTAATATATAATTAATATATACTCTAGAGTATCTTGTTGTGAGGAACTTTAATACTCTACAATTAGTAATTAGTACAATTATGTTTTAGTAAGAACTATATTTTTATTAAGTAACAAATTTTAATAAATCTCTTTCAGATCACATGCTTGCTCTTTTTGTAACAATTAAATAATTAACCTAACCTAAGTTTTATTCAGATATGGTAACCTAAAATATTAACAAATAATAATAATCAGTCTGACCATCTGCACCACATACTCCCCCTTCAGTGAAGGGTCAGTTTCTGAACCTCACTGGTAGTTTGACTGGGCGGCCACTGCGAGTTGTTCTCCGGTCGGGTGGTGCATCCGTTCTCTCCTCTGTCTCTCCCCGGGGAGACTGGTCCCGGCTTGGTCCCAGCCGGACCGGTAATGTCTGCGACATGTGGCCTTGGTTAAGGGGTTGTTGGGTCGGTGCTTCAATATATGCTGGTTTGACTCTATCCATTGACACTTTCTTCTCCTTATTTCTGATTAGTAACGTCATGGTTTTGTTCGTTCTATCCAAAACCTTAAATGGCCCATCATATGGTCTCTCTAACGGTTTTTTCACATGGTCTTTCCTTAGGAAAACATAATTTGCATTGTTCAGATCCTTGTACACAAATATGTTTTTTTTTTCCGTGGGCAGATGTTGATGTTGGCCTTAGTTGATCGAACCAAAAACGCAGTTTGGCAGCATACGTTCCTTGGTCTTCGTGGACGTTACCAGGTGTAATAAACTCCCCTGGTAACCTTAACGTGCAACCATATACCAACTCTGCTGATGTAGTGTTTATGTCCTCCTTCATGCTTGCTTAAATAGCACACTTGGTATAATGTCGACCCAATTTTGTGAATTGTAACACTTGATTGCTGCTTTAAGTTGCCTATGCAGTCGCTCCACCAAACCATTTGCTTGAGGATGGTATGCTGTTGTTCTGACCCGTTTTATACCTAGAAGTTTAATAGTGTTATTGAAAGTCAATGATTCAAATTGGGTACCTTGATCTGTAGTAATAACTTCTGGCACTCCAAAACGTGTTATCCACCCGATATATAATGCTTTTGCTACCGTTTCAGCCGCTATGTCCTGAATAGGTAGCACTTCAGGCCAACGTGTGTACCGGTCTACACAAGTTAAACAATAACGGTATCCTTGGCATGATGGTAGCGGTCCGACTAAATCAATATGTATGTTTCTGAAACGCTCTGTAGGTACTGTGAAACTTGCTGGTGCTGAAACGACATGTCTTGAAACTTTTGATGCTTGACAAGGAATGCAGTTCTTAACCTAAAATGCGACATCCTTGTTTACACTTGCCCAGACAAATTTGGCTTTTATTAACTTAGTTGTTGCTTTGACTCCAGGGTGAGATAGCCCGTGTATTATGTTAAATACTAGTTTGTGGTGTGTAACAGGAATGTATGGTCGTACTACACCTGTTGAAGTGTCACATACTAGTGAAACCTTGGACTCAGGAAGCTCTATTTTACCTAATTTCAGACTAGTAGATCCATCGAGTAAGTTTTTAAGTTCTTGATCCTCTTCTTGAGCATTTGATATTTCTTCATAGTTTAACTTATTCACATTTATTTGTTCAATTCTTGACATTAGATCAGCAGTTACATTTTGTTTACCAGGAATGTGTTTTATTTCAGTGGTAAACTGCCCAATATAATCCAGATGCCTAAACTGTCTTGGAGAGCACTTGTCTAATCTTTGGTTAAACGCATATGTCAGGGGCTTATGGTCTGTCCAAACTATAAAATGTCTCCCTTGTAACATATGTTTAAATTGCTTGATCGTGAGGTATATAGCGAGTAGTTCTCTATCATAAGTACTATACTTTTGCTGTGTGGTACTTAACTTCTTTGAAAAAAATGCCAATGGTCTCCAATTTTGGTTTTCATCTTCTTGTTGTTCCAAGACACCTCCGACAGCAAAATCTAATGCGTCAACTTTAACTGCTAACGGTGCTGAACTCCTTGGATGTGCTAGTAACACTGCATTTGCTAAAGATGCTTTGCACGCTTGAAAAGCACTCTCAGTAGCTTCGTTCCATTTAATTTCTGTCTTGTCATTTTTCTTATTTCCTTTTTGGTATGTCAACAAAGGTATTTGGTTTTCAGCAGCATTTGGCAAAAAATGTCTATAAAAATTAATCATACCTAAAAACTTTCTTAACTCTTTGACTGTATGTGGTTATTTTGTAGTCAAGGATAGCTTGGACTTTTTGTGGTAGTGGTTTGGTACCTGTGCTACCTATACTATATCCCAAAAAGTCAATCTGTTCAACTCCAAAAATACATTTGTTTACATTTAACAACAATCCAAATCGGTCAAGGCGTTCAAACACTGTTCTAAGGTGGTCCTCATGTTGTAGTTTACTTTCAGAAGCTACCAGTACATCGTCCATGTATGGGAAACAGTATTCTAATCCCTCGAGTACTTTGTGCATGAACCGTTGGAATGTTTGACCTGCGTTACGTAAACCGAATGGCATACGAACAAATTCGAATAAACCAAATGGTGTACTTACAGCTGTTTTGGGAATGTCATCTTCAGCTACAGGTATCTGATGATATGCTTTCTTGAGGTCGATTTTAGAAAAACAGTTTTTCCCTTGTAATATGTATGAAACATCATGAATGTGTGGTACCGGATAATTATCTGCAACTGTCTTGTTATTGAGTGCTCGGTAATCACCGCATGGTCGCCAGCCGCCATCAGCTTTTCCAACCAAATGTAGCGGGCTTGCCCAAGAGCTACTTGATGGTCGACAAATTCCCAACTCCACCATACTTTTGAATTCTCTTTTAGCAATCTCCAAACAGTCCGGTGGTAAACGCCGCGGTTTTGCGCTACACGGTGTTCCAGACGTTGTAATGTAGTGAACTACATCGTGACTTACGGCTATTGATCTGGAAAAAGGTTTGGTAATTAGTGGAAATTCTGACAATATACTCGCATATGGATGGCTTTCTTGTATTGTTTTGATTGTGATGCTCGAGCATTCAATTGTTGAACACCGTCTTGTTAACTTAGTTAAGTTATCAATAAGTCTATTGTTGTTCAAATCAACGAGTAACCCGAAATGCTTCAGTAAGTCTGCACCTATTATTGGTTTTGTTACGTCTGCAATAACAAATGGCCAGCAGTACGGTCGACGTAAACCAAGGTTTAAAGTTATTGTCTTCATGCCGTATGTATTAATGGCTGTACCATTTGCTGCGTATAATTTTAATGTATTTGATTTTTGTTGTTTGTCTGTGTTTGACGGTGGTACGACTGAGATGTCTGCTCCACTGTCGACAAGGTACTTAAGTTTGCTGGTGACATCAGTTACAAATAAGCGGTTTGTTGTGCTTGCACAGCCAGTCGCCGCTTCAACTGGTCTGCTTTCTAGTTTTTTGTGTTGCGGAGGCTTAAGTGCATCCTGCACCACGAACCTTTAAAGATTTTTGCTTGATCCTTGAACTTGGAATGGTAATAACAAAGCTCATCTCTCATCTCATTTTTGTCACGAGACTTGGACCTTGTTCTTCTGTATTGCTTGTCGTCCCTCCTGTCATTGCTACGGCCCCGTTGGCTCAGCTCTTCAATCGCTTTGGTAAGTGAAATGATTTGCAGTTCCAGAGCTGAGTGCGCGTTATTGGTTTGACATTTGCATTGTTTCTCCGTGTTCACAGTTGCTACAGTACTTATTTCACTTACTTCATGGATTTTATCAGCCATTTTTGACAAATTAGATAGCGAATCTGTGCTGGTTGTGAGTACAGCTTGCACTTGTACAGGTAGGCGCTGTAACCACAGATTTTTCAGCATATCGTCGGCTAACTGGTCACCTGCTAACTGCTGCATCTCACGAAGCAAATATGACGGTTTTTTATCACCTAGTTCTAAATCACGCAATAACTTTTTAAGCTTTTTCTCCTCCGACTCGGATAAACGCTCGGCGAGTACCTGCTTTAGTTTTAAGTACTTATTGCTTACCGGTGGTTTTTCGAGAATATCCGATACGTACGTTAGGATGTCTTCGTCTAACGCGCCAACAACGTAATGAAACTTTGTCTCGTCGTCAGTGATATTTGCCGTGACAAAACGGGACTCGAGTTGAATGAACCACATTTTTGGATTCTGTACCCAAAATGGTGGTGCCTTGAAATGGTGGATAAAAGTTGGCTGTTGGACTTGTTGTGTTTGTTGATTGTCGCCGGGCATGTTTTCCGTTTTTTAAACACAAAATATATCGTTCGAGGTCGAGGTCACCACTTTGTAGGAGTATCTTGTTGTGAGGAACTTTAATACTCTACAATTAGTAATTAGTACAATTATGTTTTAGTAAGAACTATATTTTTATTAAGTAACAAATTTTAATAAATCTCTTTCAGATCACATGCTTGCTCTTTTTGTAACAATTAAATAATTAATCTAACCTAAGTTTTATTCAGATATGGTAACCTAAAATATTAACAAATAATAATAATCAGTCTGACCATCTGCACCACATATATAATAATATAAAATTAAAATAGAAATTATTACATTCAGTTCAATTGTATGTATGGCGTATATAAGGTATTACATTGGAATCATCTATCAATTACATATTAATTTTCACTATATTTCTACAGTTCAAGATCAAGCTATGATATATACAATCATTCCTGGTGTTAGACTCGATTCTCAAATATTTGTGGACAATTTAAATCACCGGTACTACAAAAGTAAAAGTAAAATTAATAAAATGTGAGTAGAAATATCAAAAATTATTTAACATATGGAATTTAAAAAAAAAAACTGTTTTAAGATTTGGTTTGTTTGGCTATAGACTATAGTATAGTATGCTGACAGTTCTTTTATATTAGTTTACAATATTTTTAAAATTATAAAAATAAAAATTTATAAATTATAACTATTTAGATATTTAGTATGCGAAAACCAAAAAAAAACGTGGAGGATTTTGTCCTGCCACTGCCTATGTAAGCGTAAACATGAACGATAATGTTATAAAGGTACTAGGACAACATAACCATGATCCTCGGTTGGTAGATGTTCCTATGGTTCATTTGAGAAGAGCTATTGGTACAGCAGGTACAAAACCTGGAACTATGTCCAGCTCTGTTAGAGGAATTTATAACAGAGAAATAGTAGAGTATGTTAAAGAAGTTCAATAATACATAGTTTTAACTAATGGCTATGGCATTGCTGCAGAGTATTGTTATAACGTCTTATAACAATAAAAAAAGTTATTATACTAATACAATTATTTACTGCCTTAGAAATCCAGAAGGTGCAATAAATTACACATTTTTGCAATCCCAATTGTGTAAAAAAAATGCGTCGGCGCCGTCATCCAAAGAACCAATCTACAGTCGAAAAACTGATAGATATCTTGAGCCAGCAACAAAATTCAGCATAATATGGATCAACAATGCAGAATCCATCCTCAAAGTAAAATTGTACAAACATTATCTATAAAAATAAAATATTTTTATTTAGTTTTTTTCAACAACAATTACCATTAATGGCAGAAGGCGAAAGGGTTGGCATAGTTTTTGCAAATTTAGATGCTATTCACAAGTATAGGGAAGAGCTCTTTACAGTAACCGTTGCAGGTATTGATGGGACTTTTAAAACGGATGTCCACCTCAGTTCACCAAAGGTTGTCTTTTAACATTTCAAGTGGTTTTAAAAAATGTAGTAAGTATAATTAGTATAAATAAATTAATTTTTCTAAAGTACATACCTATTAACTGTATTTTACATTTGAGTCTTTTAAAATGGTTTATGCACTGTCTTCAAAAATGATCCAGGCTGCATATGAATCTTTTTTGATAATTACTCGACAAATTTTGCTGTTAAACTATGTGGAGCTAGTAATTTTATTATTTTTGATTTTGAAAGGGGTTTGATAAATGCTGTGAAATCAGCAATTCCCGAAAGTAGATACCAGGGATGCTGGTTTCATTATTGTCAGGTACTTAAGTATAGTTACCTAATATAATTCACATAATTTAATAATTTAATTTACATTTTCTAGTCTATTGTAAGGTACTGCAGACGGAGTATGAATAGTATATTCAATCTCTTCAAATCCAGTCCTGAGGCTGCTAAAATATTGCGCATGGTAATTTTTATCGATAACGGATTACTGAAATTAATAAAAATATTTGAAATAGTATAGGAACTTATGCATTTTAAAGTTTTACAATCATTTCTGTTATAGATCCTAGCCTTACCTCATTTGCCAGCAGAAGTGAATCCCAATTGCAGGTTCACAATTTTTGACGGATTCAGGGTGGTTGTTGAATTTGCCAACCAACATCCAAACATTTCTCAACGTTTGGAGATTTTTCTCTTGGGTTATGTTCAAGATTTTTGGCTAATACAAATTGGCGCTTCATCTATAAGTGTCTACGGGTATGAGAATTTCATAAACAAAAAAAAAAATAGAAATAAGCTACCAAATAGTTTTAAAATACAAACACTTTTTAGTTCTGAAGTCCGCACCAACAATTATTTGGAGTCATTTCATGCAACACTGCTAAACCAAATGGGAAAACATCCAAATATTTGGGATTTTTTGCGTAAAATCAATTTTGTAAAACAATATTTGTTTGGAAATTGGAAATCTAATCTAACTATCTACCTAACCTGTGGATTTGTATTTATTCGTTTAGTGCTGTGAATTAAATGTTATGATTTAAGGTGGTTGGTTAAAATATGTTAAATAATAATAAGTAGGTTATTAAATATTTTATTTTTATTCTAGAAAAACTGTTGCTGATTGAAAATCAGTTCTATATTGAAATGGACCAAGTTCGAAGAAACCTAACAGTAAATAAATGATTTCATTTTATTTTAAATGTATAATGTATATACGATACACCTACCTATATATTTATGTTTTTTGTTATTTTTAAATGTTAAGGTTAGAAATCATACGTTCAGAGTAGACAGAGCAGTTGCAACGCGTAGAATAGGGGATTATATTAATATATTAAATGAGGATGGGAACCTCTTAATGTTCCTTCAAAGAGCAGGCCATATGATGGACGGGTTATCTTCATGGGCAAGTTGGCCCACAGCCATAGTTCACCTGATAAATTATTATTATTTATTATTAACATATTAACATCTTATGACAATTTTATTGCATTACCTATTTATTATTACATTTTTTAACAATTGAATAACCCATTTATAATATTTAAATTTTTTGATAATTTAATTATTTATTTTATATAATAACCTACATTTTTTAATATTTATTTTAGAATCATCGAGTAGCGATGAATTTATTGGTGATTATGTGTTTTATTGTCAATAAGCATAATTTTAAAATTTTTTTTTACCTATTACTATAATTATTATTATTAACATTTAAAATATTAACATTTTATGACAATTTTATTGTATTATCTAATATCTATGGTTACCTACATTTTTTAGCAATTGAATTACCTATTTATTTTATATTATTACATTTTTCAATATTTATTGAATAACACGTTTTATAAGTTGTATTTTAGAATCATCGTGTAGCGATGAATTTATTGGTTTTACAATGATTATGTGTGTTTTATTGTCAATAAGCATAATTTAAAAAATTTTTATTACCTATTACTATAATTGTTATTTTGAACATTTAACATACTAACATATTATTATGACAATTTTATTGTATTATTTATGCTTATATTTTTTAACAATTGAATTACCTATTTATTTTATATTATTACATTTTTCAATATTTATTGAATAATACGTTTTATAAGTTGTTAGATTAGATGATTATGTGATATAATACCTTACCGTAGAAAAAAACTTCATAAGTTACTTGATACTTGTTAGTACTTCCAGCTTTGATATTTGTAGGTTGTAGTGTTGATATGTTGTACACATGGTTTTTTTTCAGTAGTAGTTTTATAAAAATAAGTTTTGATATTTAGTTCTTACAGTTGGTCACCCTGACTGTCGGAGTAAAAATTGGTTGTTATCATTTGTCGGAGAACGGCCCTCGTCCGAGTCGTCGGCACACTTCGATCGGCGACCGTCGTACACTATCGAGCGCGAGAGTGGGGGAAATTGGGCTCTGGGGGTCTATTTTTGAATTTCATATTAGCATGCCAATCATATTAGTACACTAAAATATCATGTTTTAGTTCAACTAATAGTGCAAGACCAAAAAACCGTATTTTTGAATATTGGTAGTAGGTATCTACCACACTAATCGTGATTTTAGCATACTAATTACTGTTATCATTGAGACATTTTTTTTTTTATAACTTTAAACTATAACTTTAACTTTCAATTTATTCAAAAATGGAACATTTCCTTAATTTGAATTACATCCAAGCTATTAACAATTTGGAAGTTATGGAGGAAAGACAAGATGATGTAGATACAATTCGGTTTCATGAGGCGGAGAATGCATTCGATAGTACGTTAAATTAAAATCCACTTAACAATTTACCTAGTGACATAATATTAATAATATTTAAGAACTTTTACTACCTATGAATAAAAAATCGTATTTTGTAGTATTGACTGAAAGAGCGTTTGTCAAAAAATTCAGACTTACAAAAGGTCTTGTCAATATATTAATAGATGAACTGCGTCCATACCTTGAACCCCCCTCTAGAAAATCTGCTATAAGTATTGAGCGTAAAGTAAGTCAAATATTATATTATTATTAAGGTAGCCTAAAAGATACCTACGTACAATTTTAAACATGTATTACACTATTTAGGTTTTAACGGCTTTACGATTTTTTGCAAGTGGCTCATATCAGCAAGACATTGGGGAGAATTGAGCATCATCTTTGAGTCAACCATCAGTCAGTAAATGCATAGCCGAAGTATGTGATGCATTGAACATGCCTAATATTTTTAATAAGCACGTAAGGTTTCCTTCGTAACTGAATGAATTAAATCATATTAGACAGGAGTAAGTTAACATTATATTAAATTATATATTTATATAATCGCTGATCACATCTGTAACACTGTCAAAATACAATAAGGTTCACCAATGTATATGGAATCCCGGGTGTTATTGGCATTATTGATTGCACTCACGTTGCAATAGTACCCCCTAAAGCTGATGGGCCTTACCCAGAACACATATATGTGAACAGGAAAAATTATCATTCCATAAACGTACAACTGGTAAAATAATTAAAAATATTAAATTATATTTTGTTATTTCCTAAATATACTTTGTATATTACTAGATATGCGATTCAAATATGGGTATAATGAACGTAAATGCTAAGTACCCTGGTAGTACTCATGACAGCTACATTTAGCGTCGTAGTGCTATCTCTACGATTATGGAACAAATGAATAATGAAGGAATGCGTTCTTATTATTTATTGGGTAGGTATAGTGATGATTTATTTAATTTAATCAAAAAGATAATATTATTACCTATAACAAAATTTAAAAAATCTATTTTAATCATCATGTTAGGAGATTCTGGGTATGCATTGAGACCTTGGTTGATGACACCGTTAAATAATCCGGAACCAAATACCCCAGAAGGACGTTATAATGAATGGTTCTCTAAAACTAGGTCGTTGATTGAACGTACTAATGGGTTACTCAAAATGCGATTTCGGTAAGTTTTTATCAGTACCTGTAGTAGTGGCCCATAGGTAGAGATGGGGAGGATGAAAATGTAACGATTTTAACTTTTAAGTTTTTAACTGTTTAAATTCATATGTTAAAACTTAATGTATTAAAATTATTAACCTAGTAATAAAAAAATGTGACCCATCCGGCATCCACAAAGTGGCGACCCTTAATGGATTTTATAAATAATAAACTTCTAATAAGTAATAGCTATAGGTAATGGTATTAACGTGGTATACGTATTATAGTAGGTAGTAGCCAGTAGGTACTTACTAAAATATTATAAATATGTCTATATAAATATTAAATTTTCAAATTGTATAGATAGGTACATCAGATAGCTACATTTTAAGTCTAGACCTATTTTACGGACGTCGTGGTGGTAAAAAACGATAGTAATAACTAAACAATAATAACTAACCTCCCCAGTAATGTGTACAAGCCTCCCAGGTTGGGAAACATTGATCTAGACGTTCATAAAAGTTATTGTGGATTTACGGTTAACTTTTTTTTTTAGGATTTAGCAAATTGATTCGAAAACAGTTACATATATTATTTAATATACATGATTGATGCATAATAATTAATAATACTATAATATTTTTATATTTTATGTAGGTGTCTTTTAAAGCATAGAGTACTGCATTATCATCCGATCAAAGCATCAAAAATCATTAACGCATGTGTTATACTCCATAATATATGTATTAAAAATAATGTACCAGAACCAATTGATGAGATAACAAATGATGTGGGTTTGGGTATGCATTATGTTGAAGAAAATCATTTGAATCTTCAACAAGTGAATCCAGCCTTATTAGCTGGTCGTAGGATGCAACATCAAATAATCAATAATTATTTTATGTAGTTACATAATTAGTTCATTTTTATTATATTAATTTTGTACCAGTGTGACTTGTTATTTTTTATTTGATTCTATAGGTATTATTTTGTTTACTACAATACTTACCTTTAGAAAGTTAAATAGGAATAATTATAAAATTAAAGTAAGTAAGTTAGTAACAATTAGGAACGTGTCAACTATGAGGGAAAAAAAATTAAATAGGAATTATTATATACAAAGGATGTTGAAATGAGTATTTTATTTATTTATTTATTTAGATTTGATATTAAAATATTTAACTGCTCTGCTATAGCTTCTTTGGCCTCAACATCTCTCAACTTAAGTTTTAACTTTTCTTTATAATACATGGCCTTTAGCTCTAACATTCGGGTAGTTGTATCACTTAACTTTTCAGTAGCTAGAGCGGCATTTGTTAATTTTGATTTCTTACCAAAAGATCTAGAAAAGTAAATTCATGGTTAATATAATTTAAAATATTATAGTTAGTAAAACATGCACCATTAATATAATATATAGCAGAATATCATGCAATAAGAAAGCAAAAAAGAAGAACCATTGTATTTTGAAATATTTGAACAAATATTTCAAAAGCTCCTTTTTGGACTTACTGGACAAAGGGAAATTATAAAAGTTAGAATAAAATTAAAAGAAAAGTAATAGAACTATAAGATAAAAAGATGGATGGATGGAAATTATAAAAATAGATCTAGAAAAGTAAATAAATGGTTAATGTAATATTAAATAGTATTAAATAGTTAAATACCTATTATAGTTAGTAAAACATGCACCATTCAAATAACAGAATATCATGCAGTAGGAAAGCAAAGAAAGAACCATTGTATTTTGAAATATTTAAGCAAATATTTTGAAAGCTATTTTTTGGAATTATTGGACAAAGGGAAATTATAAAATTTGGGATAGACTTAAAAGAAAAGTAATATAACTATAAGATAAAAAGATGAACAAATGGAAAGGAAAAAAGTTAGATAAAAAGAGAAGCAACAATCAACACAATTATACTCCCTGAACATTTGCCTATGGCTTGTTGACTCATAGTTGAACTATAACTTATTAAATGTATTATCACTAGATGTGGACTGTGGGTAGTATACCTAGTTATATAATAAATATAAAAATATAATTATAAATGTTTGGAATAATACTCATAAAAACTTCTTACTTATTGTGTGTATTTTGTAAATCCTCTTCAAAAGGGTTATCCAAACTTCTTTTTATAACAGTACCAATAAATTGGTCAAACGGATCAGATTCACTAATTGAATATTTTAAATAATACATTAATTTAATTTAAAAAATAGTAACCTACATAAAAATAATAGGTAATAAATATAAATATTTACTTTGCTTTTTCAGTATTATCTTCCTCATTGCTGTTATTTGAATTTACGGAAATAGTAATGACATCTAAATTATTACTATCTTCTTCTGCATGCATATTCACTAAAACCAACTCCTCTGTATCCTCTGTAGCTAAAACGTTATCAGTGTTGTCATGCAAAAATGAAACAGTACAAGTACTTTCAGGGACAGTGTCATGACCATGAATAGCAGTATGCCCTAAAATATCCAATAGTTGTTCATCAGCTTGGTCAATGCACTCTTCATCTTGTTTTTCACCTCCGCCGGTCTTATTGTAATGTGATTTTGAAGGGACTTTTTGTTTTGCAGCCGATTTTAAGTATTGAAAACACTAAATATTAAATTATATCTTTTTATTTTTTTGTAAATAATTGAAAATTAATACCTATACAATTATTGATCTTATTATTACCTTTCTCCATTCAACCCAAGTTTTTTTTGGTCCAATTGTTTCATTCAGAGTTTTTGAAATATTTTGCCACAATAACTGTGAATCCTTCATGGTAAAAGAAGGTCCAAATTTCTTGGTATTCAATTTTGGATGCTTATGAACAAAATCAATTAGTAATTGTTTTTGCTCATAAGTTACACTTTTGGATTTTTTTTTTGTTTCCATAACCGGTGAAAAAAAAAAGGAAAAAGTAGAAAATAGCACTATGTAACTATCGACTTGACTCTATAAAATTTTAAGGAGAAAACTCAAAAACTTAGAAAAACACAAAAACGTAAAGGCCGAAGAAAAACTTTAAAAGTAATAGGTAGATAAGTAAAAAATAATATCTTATTATCATCGTATTTTATATTATATTTTATGAATGATAAAACTAATTCAATTTACAGTAGAGCCAATATAAGTTTAGATATCGCACTAATAATTATTAGTTTAAAAAACAAAAGATTAGACAATGTGCGATTAGTTTAAGAATATTAGATAGAAAAAAAATGAAATTCAAAAATACCAATTTTAGTTAGTGCACTAAAATCATCGTCTAATTGATTAGTGTACTAAAGTATTCGCCAATGATTAGTGCGAATTCAAAAATAGACCCCCTGGACGGTTGTCAGCCGTCAGTCGCGATGCGCGAAAGCGGTATGTTCTCTTTTGAAACAGAGTACTAATAATATATTTTATTTATTTATTAGTGGCGTAACCAGAACTTTTAATGCCCTTGGCAAAATAATCCAATCGGGCCCTTAGTTTTATAAATTTGGAAGAAAGAGATATGAGGAATAGCCTACAAAAACTAACCACCTACAAAATTCTACCCTTTAACGTTACAAACAATAAAAAACATGTTTAGTGTAATATTATTTTTATAGTAAAATTGTATTAAACATTTTTTTGGTTTAAAAAATATATACAAAGCAATACAAAATTTAAATATTCCAAATTTCTTCTTTCTTGATTTTTGTTCGGCAAACATATCGATTCAATTTTCAAAGTCAACTTCTCGGGCTGTTTCTTGTTCGATTGAAATTAACGCCAGGCCACATAAACGATCTTGCATCATTGTACTCCTTAAATATCCTTTAATAATTTTTAGTTTTGAAAATGACCGTTCCGCGCTTGCAGATGTAACAGGAATTGTTAAAAATAATAAAGGAGCAGTACATACTTCTAGGAAACTGGCTGTTAAAAAATGATTTTTCACCATTAAAAGTTGAGCAAGATCTCTAGTTGAATTAAGTTGACTTATTTGATTTTTAAGAGTTGATCTTACAGCTAAAATTTCACTTGTAAATGTTTTTGATATGTCTTTATCATATTTGTTTACTAACTTCGAGTAACAACGACTAAACGACGGTCACTTTTTCTTAGAATAGTTCTAATCTAATCTAGTATCTCTTATATTATAAAACACAAATAGTCTCCGTTTTTTGCCACCAGGCGCGACGCGACAAATAATTAATTCCGCGTTTCTTCCATGACGACCAATCATATTACTTCTCGCGCGACGCAGCAAATAAGCAACTCCGCGTTTCTTCTATGACGACCAATCATAATACTTCTCGCGCGTTCGCTAAATTTTCACGTCGCCGCTCGCTTATCTCCCTTTTCGTTATCGACGATTGACGTGAATATTTTCGAATATTATTTTCCCGAGTTATTCCGTATTTCTATATATTATAGGTATTTAGGTATATAATATAATAAAAAAGTGCGTGTGCGATTTTTACAAAAATTGTGATATTTCCGTGTGTAAAATATATATATAATATGTAAAACGCAATATTCAGAAACGGTTCAAGTGTTATGTAAATGTCATTATTATGAATTTTATTATCGTACCGTTGTGGAAGCCGCCATTCAGCATTTCAATAATATTAAAAATATAAGTAGTTTGAATGCACGGATTAGATAGACATTTTTCACGAGTATTGCAGTAAATTTAACTATTATAGCTAAGAGTTTTAGTAGGAGCTTGGTGTGTCGATTGTTTATGACAATGCCGTTACATACGTAATAAGGTAAGTAATAATAAGTAAATTCAATACATTTCAATTTTTTAAAACATACATGTTATGTAATATTATTATATTATATACGAGGGGTAATTACAGAAAGTTTGTACACTTACTACAAAGATTACCTATGATTACCCATGATTACCCCCAAGGTGTTTACCCCTCGATTATAATATACTAATATTGTATTACCAAGTTTAATTACTTCAATTCATACCTTATACCTGTACTAACCTTTACATTGGGTTACACGTATTAATTTTTTGCAATATTTCAAACAAATTTCAAAACAAGAAAACTACATTTACATATTATATGTTATAAAATTATAATAAATTGAATTTAAATTCCTCCAAAGGTGTAAAACTATGCTTAAAATATTGTAATATTTGTCAACATTTTTATTATGTCGTTGGCATGCAAAAATGTATTATACATGATTTATATATATATTATATTAATAAATACATAAGTATCATTTATATTCTACTTTTTTAAACTTTATTATAGGACAACTGTATGCAGCGTTTTCCCGAGTGAGGGACTCTCAATCCATAAAATCCATTAGAGTTGCTATGTACAGTGATGGCCGTGGTAGATTCGTCACTAAGAACATTGTGTACAGAGAAATTCTACAAGCGATATAACTGTACAATGAAGTCTACAAGAACTTAATGAACATCGAATCCGATCTGTGTGACACATGGTTTATAAGCAGTCGTAAGTACGACTCGCGGAGGAGAGAAAGTTCGACGACCTCCACGTGGTTCTCTCTGGATGCGGATTTTGTAATGAATACGTAACTGATGTCGAACATGCATTTAACCTGGCTGCGACTCGCACACTAGATGGTAAATTATTTAGAATTATTTATGTACTCTAAAAAAATATCAGCAGATATTTGTATGCATTTGTATTATTTCAGAAACATTATACTAAAAATGACTATCAATGCAGATGTAACAGAAACAGAATCATTGTTGGACTGCTACTAAGACATAGGGGAAATTCGACAACCTCTACGTGCTTCTCTCTTGATGCGGATTTTGTAATGTATTTGTATCAAATGTCAAACATGCATTTAAACTGGCTACGACTCGCACACTCTGTGGTAAATTATTTAGAATTATTTATGTACTCTAAAAATATATCAGCAGATATTTGTATGCAATTGTATTATTTCAGAAACATTATACTAGAAATGACTTCATCAATGCAGATGTAGCAGAAACACAACAAAAAGATTCATCATTGTATCAATACTGATTACTAATTTGCAACTAAACCATCCTCTGATAATCATAAGAATTACTACAGCTAACACTTAATTATTATTCATTGTTAATGTGTAACTGATGTAGCACATACACACACATATATATATGTATATACACACACATATGTATATATGTATATACACTTAAATTGATTAATAGTAAGTTTCATACACAAATTATTATAATTTCAAAAGCATATATTATCTACTATAACCAAGGTTTGTAAGAAATTTTCAATTTTGTTGTATGTACAATATGTTTCATTTCTACGTATTGCAGTCGACGCACGATTCAATTAAATTTTTTTAAACATCATTAAACTACACT